GGCCACTGTGGTCGAACCAACGGAGTTCCGCACCGTAGAAACAATGCCATTAGCAAGTCTGTTTGGCAACTCGCTGGATTAGGATTATGGAGAGACAGCAAGCAGGGCTCGAAGCACACGCGGGGAAGCGCGTGTGAACTGACACCTGAAGTAACGGAGGTTGGTGTATGAGCACACCTCCACCCGTGGCACAGTCAGCGTCTCTCGCATCACTCAGGTGGGGCTGCAGGACCAAACCTTGCCCAGATTTCAATGCAGCAGCGGTTTACGAATGTCAGGTCTGGTAAAGAGAATATCATCTCATCATTATGAGATCTGTTAAGACAGCGCAATTCACCCAACATCGTACCTGTCCTCATGAAATGTACAACATAGTCCGCATTAATTGCAAAATTTTATGAACCCTATATGGTATCTTCTTAAAGGCATAAAGGACTATACGATTATTTGTGCGGAAAACTTGCACCAGGTAGACTGAAATCGCTAAACGATAATGCAGCGGCGGATCAGACTCAAGATTATTTGGGAATTGGGAAACTGTTCAAAACCCAAATATACCCTTCCTTTGAGTATAAAGTGTGATGACAACATGATGTTTTGCCAAAATTGTAAAAGAAAGCATATTTTTGTGTGTGTGTTTTCTATAAAATATATTTGAATTTTCATGACCATCGAAAGTCAATGCAAAAATGCATGCTAATTAAGTAGCCATTTTTTTACCGAGTGCGGTTTCTACGGGAGATCGAAAAGAGGTCATTCAACAGCCGACCTCCTAGCGAGTCCGGATTATTATAGGATTATGCACATCATAATCAGCATTACAATCCCACCTAAGCAATCCTTTCTGATTGAAAGTGCATTTCAGAATTTCGGCCGACATTTCATGAGATCGGTCACTCACTGTAGCGATTCGAATGCGGGCTATCAAGCACTCATCGCAACAAGTACAGCCAAGCGCGACGAAAACCGAGGTTGTTGACATGAATAGGTTTGTGGTTGTTTAACAAATGCATCCGCTAAAAACTCCAACGCATTGTGCGCCTGTCCACAAAAAATGGGACAGCACAAATAGAATACCGTTTGATGGTACTTTTTTCTTGAAATCGGCCACTCACTGTATGTGTGCGTGGGCGGGCAACTGAGGCAGCTTGCAATATGTGATTGGCTCTTAGAGAGGATTCACTCAAGGAAATGTCGACGAGATTTGCTTCTGTAGCTCCACTTGATAGCTTACTAAAACAATACTATTTAACATACCTAACATAGCCACTCACTGGATTAGGATGGGGAAGAGAGCGCAAGCAGAGCTCGAAGCACGCGCAGGGAAGCGAGTGAAGGTGACGTGTGCATACTCCCCCTCCCCCGACACAAACACTCGCTGAATTAAGAGGATATGGGGGGCGCAATCACAACTAAAAGACCACGGAAGGTACCATGTGGTAATTTACAGCACATGGCCACTGTGGTTGTAATATTAGCCATCATGCAGTCTAATCCTCTGATATCTCGGACGCGTCAGGACGTTGGCTTTTGGATGTTCTTCTTTTCAGCCGGCTGCAAATACAATCCGGAAAAAATTAATACCTAAGTAGTATGCATTTTCAAATTTATTTTTGATGGCTTTTTAAATTCAATGGTAGGGGTCGCTCGCCGATCGTTCTTTCGGGACTCACTCGTTCCGTTGTGCCTCACGGGCTCTCTCTCGAGCACAACCAGCAGCCGCACAGCGGCGCATGATATAGGTGGCAGAATGGCATTACCGACAAAGACAAGGAAGACTGGGATAGCCATTTCTGGCTTATTAGCCGTCTTCGGCCGTCCGAACAATTCCATTGGCATGTCTACTTGACCGCCCACTGGATTAGAAAAATGAAGAGTGCGCACGCAGGGATCGAAGCACGCACAGGGAAACGCGTGTGAACTGATGCCTGAAGTAACCGAGGCTGGCATATAAGCACTCCTCTCCCCGTGGCGCAGTCACTCGTTGGACTAAAATGGTAAGACAGATGCAAGTACGTGATACTTATAAATTCGGCGTATTCGTATCCACCTGCCTTGGCCTACGGGCCGTTGTTTGTGAATGTAGGCGGTACCTCCTGTGTTTTGTGTCGTCACCTCAATGGGGTCGGTTGCGTTTGTGCCCTGCCTTTGGGTGGATTAGTCGACGGGCCGTATTTACTCGGAATCTTTAAGCTCCGTGTGACGGTCTTCTCCTGGTCAGGGCGCATGTGATGGTCGAAATGCCTGTTGATGGAGTCGCCACCGAGTACCAAGCTTCAAGTGTGAGAAGTTCTGTCCTTGATGTGTCCCTGCCTAAGACGGCCGCTCACCGAATGTCAAAACTATGGCTAGTTTCCCCAATGTGAGTTACAAGCTGTGAGTTTGGGTCTAGTCTCCGAGTTGTCAGTTTGTGCTTGTGTAGGTGGGTCTGCCATTTCCGTCCGGTAGTTGCAGTCTCCATCGTTACAACGTATTTGATAAACAACTGCTGAGGTTTCAGTAGGTGACAGTGTGTCTTTGGATTGCATCAAGCGGTGACGAATTGTTGCCTGGGGTCGATGGCCACTGCCTACTCTGGCGAGTTGTTACAGTCGTGAAACCGCCCCGGGACTCCTCTAATGTAAGGAGTGTTTTTATGTCTTCCTAGTCAATATTATAATACAACATTTCCTAACGGTCCAAGAAGTCGCTGGTCGGATTCTGGATGATGTTGTCTATCCCCTTCATTCTGAACTAGTTGCTGCATAGGCCACCCGACCCATGCGTCGTGGCTTCTGACATGTCTCTTGCAGTACGTCGGTATATCAGCATTCTATAATGCCATTTCTGGCACGATACCTTACATGAAAGTTGTACTTAATACAGAAACGGAGACTTGGACCGTCTCCCCAATCAATATTTATTTTTAGGCAAAACTTATTACTCGTGAATCATTTATGCGTTTATATCTTGGTCAAAATAAGTGTAGCCATCCCTGCTGAAATTTTAGATGATGCTCCTTATGACTGTCCTGTCCTCGTCACGGCGTATGTAGTGGCGTAGGACTTTATAGGCCGTGGGAAGGTCTAAATGCCTGTTGATGGAGTTGGCATCTGAGTACCAAGCATCAAATGTGAGACGCTCTGTTCTTGAGGTGCCCCTGCCAAAGACGGCTGCTCCTTTAAAATCGAAACTGTGACCAGTTTCCCCCATGTCAGCCGCAAGCTGTGAGTTTGGGTCTGGTCTCAGAGTTGTCAGTTTGTGCTCGCGTGGGCGGTTCTGCAAATTTCATTCGGTCTCGCGAACGTGGTTTCAGTCTCCACCGTTACAACATATTTGACAGACAACTGCTGAGGTTTCAGTGGGTGGCAGTGTGTCTTTCGGTTGCATCGAACGGCGACGAACTTTTGCCTGGGTTGGATGAGCAATGCCCACTCTGGCGGGCTGTAACAGTCGTGAAAATGCGGCCCGTGGAGTAATTCCCCCGAAAGGGGAGCACAGGTGCAGCCGATGTGACGATACACAATGCAGAATGCCACCAAGATTCACAAGAGACGGCCAGAAGTCAAAAGTAACGAAAGGGGAAAAAATCGGTCAGCCCAAGGCCAGGTAATGCGATCGTTTGTTTAAAATAAATAAATAACTAATTTTATTGAGTACCCGTGAGGGTACTTTCATAGCAAGTAAAAATAAAGTTGCAAATAAATTTTAGAACAAGTAGACAGATTCTGCACAGTATTCATTTCACGGTTGCAGAATAAATGATCAGCGAGCAGTTTAAAAAACTCCGTATGAAAAGGGCAAAATGAATATGAATTGATTGACTTTAAGGGGGAAAACTGCCGCTCGTAGAAGGGTAAATATGCGGGTCGAACAGGACTGGCCTGCATATGGTATTGGATAAGGGATTCAAAACGGAAATCGCCTCGAAGTGGCGGGACATCAGAAGCCTAGATGCGACCAGTCACAGTCCGCTTAGAGTCCAGCCGAGGAGGGGACATTTAACACTAGGACAGTCATCAAAACGTAGAGGAGCGAATGCGACCCTGAGACCCATGCGCTGCACGACCAAACTACTGGTAAATGGCAAAAACTGAGGATTACGCTGTGTTCGTCAACAGATCACTTGGGTTCGTAGTGATGAGTTGGTATCAAAAACCGTGAAAATCACCGATTGGGCGTGAGGGTTCGAAATCGCAGGGGCCAGAGTGGATTCCTGATGAGGGTAGGCGATTAAGGAAACGGAGGCGACTTAGGGCGTGCACGTCAACCTGGCCCTCCTATTTCTTTGAGAGGACTTGTCAGGAGGGATATCGCGTTCTGTGAATGAATCGAAAGGTCGACAGAAAGCCCTGGTCGGTTTTCCCCAAGAAACGCTTTGATAGTGGAGAGCCGGCCAAGCCCTCTGAAACGCCAGCCATGCAGTTCCTCTGGTCCGGTGGGTCCTAGGCATTTCTCACATAAACAGTTCCTTGCGAAAACTACCAATGAGATCATCGGACTCCAGGATGATTTAACTGAGTGGAATCCAGGAGACAGAACGGGACATAAAGACCAGTCGCTATGTCGGCTGTTGGAGTCTCAACACTAGAAGAGAACCAAGACCTACTGAATGGCATCATCGTGGCTTTTCTGGAGCACAACAAGATCAAACCCCTAAAAAAACTGTCAACTTCCCAACCGACAATGTAAGCACAGTTGTGGAAAACTTAAAGCCAGTCAGGGAGGGGAGGCGAGTTAGGTTAGCAGGGGCAAATTCCGACAAGTCAGTTCTTCACAATAACGAGACAGTTAACAAAGACAAGTCAAACCCTGTTACTCGCTACGGTAACTAAATCTGTCAAAGCGTCAAACATTGCGGGTGGAAGAACCACAGTTGACTGCAGACGATCTGTTAGAGACTACAGGAGGGGTTCGTCGTTAATTCTGGAAAGTGATGTTCTCACTCCATCTCATCATATGACTAACTCTGCCGGGAAGTCCGTTCAGCAGTGCGTTTATGCAAGCGTCTCAACAGAGGAATGTGCGGCTCCAACGACAACGGCCTGCTTCTCCTCCGCACCTGCGCAGAACACCGCCTCACCCTGACGAATACCTTCTTCTGTCTGCCGGAGCGAGAGAAGGCCACCTGGAGGCATCCTCGGTCGCGTCAGTGGCACCTGCTGGACTATGTCCTCGTCCGGAGGCGAGATCAGCGGGACGTGCTGGTGACGAAGGCGATTGCGTGTGCTGACGGGTGGACCGATCATCGCCTCGTCATCTTGAAGATGCGTATTCGCCTGCAGCCTCGCAAGAGACCACAAGGTAAGCGACCCCCAGGTAAGCTGAATATTGCCTTGATGTCTTTGCCCGCTCACCATCTTCATTTCAGCAATGAGTTAGCTTGACGGCTAGACACCGCCGGCGCTTCCGAGAACGCCTCCGTGGAGAAGCGATGGTATCAACTGCGGGACACAGTCCAGTTGACGGCGCTGGCCGTCCTCGGTCGCGCATGCCGCCAACACAAGGACTGGTTCGACGACAACGACGCCGTCATTAGCAATCTGCTCGCCGAGAAGAACGGTCTACACAAAGTCTACGTAGACCAGCCGACAGACGACGACAGAGCTGCCTTCTACCGTTGTCGTCGCCTCCTACAACAGCGACTGCTCGAGATGCAGGACGCCTGGACGGCTCGCAAGGCTGAGGAGATCCAAGGTACGCGGACCGCAACGAATGGAAGGACTTCTTCTCCGCGATCAAAGCTGCCTACGGTCCGCCGACCAATGGCACTGCCCCTCTTCTCAGCGCCGACGGCAGCACTCTCCTCACTGAGAAAATCCAAATTCTACAGCGATGGGCCGAGCACTTCCGAGACGTCCTCAACCACCCCTTCACTATCTCCGACGCCGCCATCGCCCGTTTTCCGCAAGTGGAGAATAACGTGGACCTCGACCCCCCACATCTCTCCAGGAAACCATCAGGGTCGTGCAGTAGCCCTCTAACGGGAAGGCGTTCGGATCGGACGCGATCCCTGCTGAGGTCTACAGGCACGGTGGTCCCCAACTAATGGATCAACTGACTGCGCTCTTCCAGGAGATATGGTGTTAAGGTGAAGTCCCGCAAGATTTCAAAAACGCAACAGTCGTGCATCAATACAAGCGAAAAGGAAACCGCCAGCTCTGCGACAATCACCGCGGCATCTCCCTGCTGAGCATAGCCGAGAAGATCTTCGTTCGCATCCTCCTCAACCGCCTGAATAATCACCTAGAACAGGGCCTTCTACCGGAAAGCCAGCGCAGCTTCCGCCGTCATCGGGGAACCACCGACATTTTCTTCGCCGCCCACCGACTGCAGGAAAAGTGACAGGAGATGCAGATCCACCCCTACTCTAACTTCGTGGATCTGACGAAAGCCCTCGACGCAGTAAATCGTGAAGTACTGTGGAAAATCACGCAGAAACTCGGCTGTCCCAAACAATTCCCTCAGATGGGGCGTCAGCTCCATGATGGCATGACGGCACGCGTCACCGACAATGGAACCGTCTTAAGGGCATTTGCAGTGATCAACGGAATGAAACAGGACTGCGTCCTCGCACCCACCCTCTTCAGCCTTGTGTTCTCTGCTATGCTGATGGATGCCTGCCGTAACGAAAGCCCGGATATCTGCGTCGCCTGCAGGACGGACGGCCAACCCTTCAACCACCGACGGATGCACTCCCAGTCGCTTGTATCCACAACTGCCGCCCATAAACCTCTCTTCGCCGACGACTGCGCTCTAAACGCCACCTCCGAAGGGGACATGCAAAGGAGTAGGGGCCTCTTCACGGAGATGGTAGTTATGCATAAATCGCCACCTGGCGCTGCCAACCACGCACCCCAAAATCATCGTGAACGGCGCCCAAATGCAAGCCGTGGACAACTTCACCTATCTGGTAGCACCCTCTCTCGCAGCTCCAAACTCGACGATGGAGTGGCCCGCCGGATTTCGAAGGCCAGCGGAGCATTCGGCCGTCTGCAATAGACCGTCAGAGATCGACACGGTCTTAATCTCAATAGCAAACGAAAGATGTACAAGGCAGTCATCCTACCGATTCTGCTGTATGCAGCAGAGGCCTGAGCAGTATAGAAGAAGCAGACACGAAGGCTCAACCAATTTTGTCTCAGTTGTCTCTGACGGATATTGAAGCTGAGGTGACAGGACCGGATCCCGGACACGAACGTAATGGAACGGACAGGAATCTTCCGCATCTGTGCCATACTGAGACGACTGTAACTGAGTTGGAGCGACCACCTCGTGCCGCTCAAACGTCAGTCACGCATACTGCAAATGACACTCGTAAACCAACTCGCCAACTCGCGCAACGATAAGGACGTACCGTCTTAACTCCGCTCCAGGCCAGCGCCTTACAAGGATGCTTTTTTGTCAGGCAATACGGGTAGTTCTGTGTCGCGTTAACGCAAGAGGCAAGAGATCGATAGAAGTAGTCTAAAGAAATCCTTTGTCGGGCCAAATGTGGTGCAGGAGAGTTAACAGCCAACATAAACTCTATGGGAGGACTGTGTTTTTGATTGGATTACATTTTCACCAAGGGAAGTCACCGGGAAAATGTTGTCAACGACTGTACTTTGCCAGTGGAATTGCAGCATTCGTGGGTGTACCAAGTACTTTGGTAATATTTTCATAATAGTTGTTATTTCAGCATAACCTACGAAGGCTTTTGTTCAATAGTTTGAGAATTTCAGGGCCTATTGTACACCTTGTGGAGAAGTGGTCAACAGGAGAACACTTCGATGGGCCGAACTCGATTCGAAGCAACCGCAAGCATAAGCGCATAGACCTGAGCACATAGTTTGGGTACATTGCCGACCTGGGTACGCCTGCTGGTGTTGATGTATGAGGCCTCATCAGGTGATCCCTATTATTTGCCGCTGTTCGGTCCATTACCACGTGGCTCGTCTTTTCGAATGCGTAATATTATTAGGATATGGAATTATACTGTGCAAATTTTACGATTGCTGGACGAATATGTACTCGAAGTCACCCTTGTGTCTGATTCTGAATAGATAAAATACATTTAGCTCTAGGGGTCTCCCTTTTGGATTCTTTCCGCATTCATCGTGCACCTAAATTTCCACTAGGAATCGTTTAGAAGAAGAAGAAGAAGACGACGACGACGACGACGACGACGAAGGCACGATTACTGGGACGGTAGGTTTATTGGCCTTACTAAGAATTGTACAATAATGTGATATTTGGGTAGTAAAGATATGGTTGCTGGACAATTTAACATTCTGGGGCATTCTTAGTTTTGACTATACTCAAGCTTTGTACTTGCTGTCGTGTGTTAGAGTCCTTCAATGGCCGCTGAGTTCTTTACAATATGACCCACTTTAATTGGGAATTGTTACGATACGGAGGGCTGAGGCTCAAATTAAGATGTACCACTTTTTCTACTTATATATGCTGAGTAGACGGTATAGTTAAATTTAACCGGAGGAACCCCGAGCAGGCAGTCATGCGTATGATTTGAGCGCCTGGCCGATTCGGGTGAAATAACCAGAGAGCGGCTACCCGCCGACAGTGATATCAAGTCCGGCGCTACGAGGATACCCTGAAGACCGTCCTGAAACGTCTGCAAATCAAGCCGGCCAGCTGGGGAGACCTCGCCTGAGACCACTCGAATTGGAGAAAGACATTGAAGACAGGCTTAACGATCTACGAAGCCAACCGCATCACCGCCGCCAAAGCCAAACACGAAGCTCGCAGATCTCAACTGCCTCGCAATGTCAACACTTAACCGTCCCCGACCTGCCCACGCTGCTGGCGGACGTTCCGAGCACTAACTGCAGCACCCGGACCACGACCCCCTCCACATCTGCCTCGTCCCTCACGCCGACGATCAACACTGATCGTACTCCTGAACCCCCACTGCCATCCTCCTCCATCGCCTCAAAATCCGCTGCGACGGCTCCTGCACCCACCACTACCACTTAATCCTAACGACACACGACAAACATCATCCAACTGCCACCTCCCACATAAGTGGGAAGTGTAGGTCTTGACTCCGTCTCCATGCAGCTCCCCTGCTGCATGTGTGATCCGAGTCCAAGACGTTAAACACTGCTAACTGACGCCCAAACTCGGACTACATAGTTCGTCCATTTGTTTTTGTGTGAAGGGAGATCCAGGCCGAAACGGTTCCTTTTTAATGTGACCTACGGCACTCTCTTGCATGTGAGATGGACGCCGCTCAACCCCCGTTGTGTGAAATCCTGGCGCATGTTTTCGGGGGGCCAGGTCGTGCAGTTGGCGCGTGCAGACAAGGTCACTAGATATGTCAGCCGTCACGCCTATTCCCCGCACCTGTCAATTGAACAGCTCGGACAGTGACTGGGGCCTGGGAATGGGAATGGAGAGTGAGGTTTACGACTCAGCACACTTATCCTCACTATAAACAATCTGACGTTCTTCAAGCTATCACGGTGCGCTAAAAGCCGTGGCTTGGAAGTTTGCCAACTGACGGGATAACTCGGTCCTTCTCCTCCTGTGCCAGCACTAGCACGACGGTCTGTGGGTATGTGTGCTGTGGACCTCGCCGTTGGCCCACTATTGTGTACTTGCGTGTGGAGCGTCCGGCTAGTGGTCTGAGAGTCAGGCTGCAATGGCTCCTTCTTAATGTGATCTTTTGGCACTCCCACTCCGTGGGCGACCCCGGCCGCGTCAGTCCCCTTTGTTGCTAGTTAAAATCCTGGTCGTTTGCTTTGTGGACCAGGTGGTGTGGAGTGGAACGCCAGGGTGCAGGCTCGACCGCGATATCCACCTGCGTTCCCTCCTTCGCCGGTCCTCTTGACTATATCTTGACATTTGGACCAAGTGGGGGAGGAGAGAGTGCGGTAGATGCTACAAAAGTTTACTATAAACTAAGTCATGCAGGTCACGGTACATGCCCTCACCTCGCTGTGGAGCACACGGTGGACATCGTCGAAAACGGTGGTCGAACTGCTGATTATCATATTGACCCAACTGTGAAAAACTCGGCGCTTCGGTGGGATTCGAACCCACGCAGTAAGGAGAAGGCTTTAGCGCAGCCAACGCTCTAACCACCTGAGCTACGAGGCCCCGCCGGACGACGCGAGTTTAATCACATTTGGGTCAAGTTACCCGCCCAACCTACTGCAACGTCTGGAATCCACCAAATCTGACACAGCAAACTGACCGCTCAAGCAGGATTTCCAAAGTAATCCACCTGGAGTCCACCAAGTGACTACCAGGCTCACGTAATTCACAGATGTTTTGGCAGATTATGAATAATTCATATTGACTCCAACTGTGAAAACTCGGCGCCTCGGTGGGGTTTGAACCAAGGCCAACCACGATGTCTTTGTTTGCCCTGTATCCCCTCAATGTATCACGGTTGAGCTTGAGTAGTATGGTGCACGAGTTATGTGAAGTAAGGATACCGCGGTTCTTCTTCTTGGCCGTTCTTGCGGATCGGCATACTGAATATGCAAATCGGTGTGGACCGCGAATAGCCTTATCCGTACCCCTATTATGAAAGCAAGACAAGGTTCTGATATTGAAAGAAAACGGCCCTAAAAAACCCCGTACACTTATTAAACGAGTTAGAATCTCGGATTATATTGCTGGTTCAACACAGCAAATGACCAGGATTTTAGGCAACAACAAAAGGGGCCGGCGCGGCCGGAGCCGCACCTGGGCGTGCTGTTACACCCGGCACGGATCCCACGGAGTGGGAGTGCCATAAAGGCCACATTAAGAAGGAGCCCTTGAAGCCTGACTCTTAGACCACCAGTCGGCCGCTCCGCACACAAACACACAACACTGACTGCGAGGCCCAAGTCTGTACGATCTCTAGCCCCACATTTGATTCGCAGGATGTCAACATCCTGGGCTGAGAGCCGACCGCACTGCTGCGACCATGATAACATGTCTGATATCAGCTGTGCTGAATGAGACTTCATGCTGTAAGGGCTGCATTCGTTCTTTCGTCAGCTTCTTCCAAAACGAGTTTAGTACTAGTTTCCCGCTTTCGGATGACATGGGACCAGACAGCACGTGGGACTTGTTCCTCAGTACCATGTCTCGTATCACCCTCTACCCACCGGTTAGCCCAGTTCTCTTTTAGCAAGGAAGTTTTCTATCGTCGTTTCCTGTGATTTTGAAGCACCTGGTTTACTATTAGTCAGTCCTATTAGCGTACGTGTGAGGTGCCTATCCTGAAGGGGCAGCAGCAGATACAAGAAACCTGTTGGTCGTGAGAGGCTTCAGTCACGGTTCTTCAGTTCGGAACGAAACTCCCTCTTCCTTCTCATTTAAAAGTGAGACCTTGTCTGGACGCAATGATTAGTTGTTGGGTGGGGGCTTCGCTGAATCCCGTCCTCACTGATAGTACTGGCGAATTGAATTTCGATTAATTGCCACGCCAAGCACCAACACCGATAATGAACTTACGATCGCCAAGGACTTGAATGCGAGCGTTCAAGTCCTCATTCTACCTGCGTTGAATGCGGGAGGTGCTAATTGCAGCAGGTGTGTGCATTCGTGACTGTTTCATTCTATAAATACCACACTCCTTGGGCGTCATTGTTAACGTTAACTGTTGCCTTCTCTGATGATGCGTTGGAGCGTGAACTGAGCGCCAGGTGAGAGAAATTCTTCCTTTGGTTATGTCCTCTTTCCAAAATGTCCGCCGCCCGTCTACAACTGGTTCCTTTGCACACCTATTACTTTCCTGTTAAATCCTTAGCAATTGTATAGGCTTGGTGATAAAATGTTTGCGCATACAAAGGAACACACTTCTAGTTGGGAATTTTCGTGTAATCAAGGCAGCCGCTAAGGCAGATTTGGGGTGATCGGGGACATGGACCGCGAGTTTGGGTTTTGTACAAAGTCCGATGGGACAACTGCGAGAATCGTAGGAACAAATCCGTAATAAACCAGGCAGGCCTGTGCGTGAGAATTCACTTGCGCATTTGCGATCCTAGCTGCCCTTACACTAGCCCAATAAATGTAGTGAGGATCAGTTCGCGTGTGGCATGTGTGGGCGGTTGTCCACCTGTGTCAACTACCGCGCCCCCACCTACTTAATTTGTTCCTCAGTACCATGTCTGGTATCACCCTCTACCCACTGGCTAGTCCAGTCCTTTTTGGCCCAGTTGGGGACCAAGTCGCGTGTGGCCCGCGTAGACAGCCGTCTAGCCGTATCAATTACTGCGCTCTCGCCCACCTTCGGTCATCTTGACATTGCGGTGCCACCGGAGCGAGGGAGAGGAAGGTGCAGCAGATGCTGTGCAAGTCGTCAGTGCTGTGCCCACTCCGTGTGACAGGCGGTGGACGTCACCGCTCACGACGGTCAAAATACTATCATATCATATGTACGAACGCAGGTTTTGGTCCGTCCTTTTTTTCTGTCAACCGACGATAATGACTGGTGTTGGACCGGTAATGTCTAATCCGGTCCAGCAAAGTAATTTTCCCAGTTGGCGTTAAATCTCTTCTTGGTATCTTGGTTGTGTGGGGAAAGAATGGCGTGCATGCGCTACTTGGTCTTTTTTGGGACCAATCAATGATGGCCAAATAAGCCATTGGTTTCAAGTCTGCAACGGTGTCCGTACGAGGCGAGTCGTCAGTGAGAGCGAACAGAAAAAAGTCTAGCTGTTTGGTTTTCTCAAACCTTCGGAAGTGCCTATTGATCCGACGTGACCTCTCCATCGCCACTAAGATTCGCGTGTACCGTGCATCTGTCCGGTCTGTCCTTCTCTACGGTTGTAAATGCTGAGCTTTGCGCGTGGAGGAGGAGCGAAAACTGGAGGTATATGACCACCACTGCTTGAGGTCCATCCTTCGAATGAAGTTCACCGACTTCGTCTCAAAGGAGACAGTCCGCGCTCGCTGCGACAACATCGCAAGGACAACTCAGGCCATCCAAGAAAGATGACTGAGGTGGTTCGGGCATGTTATTCGTTGTCCACCTCAGGAGCTCAGTGTTACTGTCCCTGATCCGGCACCGTTACCCCCATAGGAGTCGTCGAAGAGGGGGGAGTCGCCTCAAAACCTGGCTCTAAACAGTTCGTTAAGACATGGAGGTGGTTCTTAGACCTTCGGTATTCGGTCTACGTCGTTGGCGAAGGGAATGGGTCGAGCTGTCCAGCTCTGCTGTCGCGGATCGTCACGCGTGGAGAGGTACTGTTCGTGAGGCCGGCTAGATCAGGCATGATCGCAGCCGTATCATGTACAAGTAAGCAAGTTTGAACATGATGTCGATTGGTCCTGCGGCAACTACATTTGGGCACATGCGTCCCGCAGGAGGGCTACACCGATTTCAGCATGGTCGGCAGCAGTCCTCCAATGGCTCAGGCAACAGACTACACAGATTAGCGAGACCGCGATGCGACTCCGCCCAATAGCCCCGGTTTCCTGACTGCCGGAAATTGCTGCACTCATAAACTGAAACTCGAAAAATAATCGCTACCACAATGTTCCAGAAGTCCGTATTTCCCTGACTTTCTGCTCCTGCATGACGCAACTGCAGCCCGTCTGGCCAATTAGTGGGATCGCAGGCGTCCTTGTCATCAAATGGTGATTCACAATTTTTTGTCGGAAAGTGTCCGACGAGCGCGGAGGCCGATGAGTCAAGCCGCGTCTTAGTATCTGCCTAGCACCCGTACATCGAATTTGGTACAACAAATCTCTGTGTACATCCAATCCCCGAGCTAGATATAAGCATGGTCGAGTACCGGTAGTTGACAGTGCAAGCCTCGAAAGTGCTGTCCAACCCGATAAAGCCTGTTTCGTCAGGCTCATACGAAGTTTGTCTAACAACGCTAGGTGAGGTCATCGGTCTACTTAAGATCCTTTCTATTTCAGGAAATTCGTTGTGTCGAGCAGTTTTGTGAGTCATACGGGAGTGACGTTCGCCGATTTACCCTGCTTGTAGGACAGGAGCAAACATTCCCGTCCAGCCTCGGGCTCAATGCTAACGCCGGCAGTCAGAGGTAGATAATTACCACTGGGGAAGCTAAAGAACACCTAGGGGGTCATTTCTGACTTGCTCGCTACCATACTTAAGCGCAGGTGCTGGTGTATCGGCCATGCGACAGAGGCAGAGCTAATTACAGTGGTCGTCTATGTCGTTAGATCCTGCCTGTTATCGAGTACCAGTCCCATAGAGACCGCCCGTATGCCCTCAACTCCAAGGTTAAATAGAAATGTCGGACTTCGCAACATAACCGAGGCAAATGAGTGCGCGTCACGTTCTCCGGTCTTAGCCGACAGGACGTGGGCTCCTAACAAAGCTGCAAGGGCATCCGGGTCGCACGCACAAATCAGGAACTCGGGTTTAGTTGACTGAAGGGCGAAAAACCCATCCCTCCAGCGACCGTTGTCGGCGAACGCAATGGGCTTCAGCATTCGTCGCGTAGGCTGTATCCGTGAAGCAGTTTGAAGGTGGCAGGACCATGAAAGTTCAGTAAGAGACCCTAGTACAAGATACTTCTTCGGGATGAAAAGGACAGAAGTGTCCCTAGGCGCATAAACATAAACGGAAAACGGACATGCCCCTAACGCCCGTTAGGAACTAGCATCTCGGAGGTGCTCGTTACGTCTCCATTCACCAAGTGTTCTGGAAATTTCGCATGCGTGTTGAGATGAGCCAATCTGGCTAAGACATCGCACCCGCCCTAGGCGTGCGGACGTTAGCCCTTTCTCTCAAATAACACTCCACAAGCCTATCCGCTAGCAATCGCTTCAAACTGACCCACTGAGGTAGGATCGCCGAATTAGTAAATTTTCCGCGCGTGTTTACGGCAACCGATGAAATCACGGGAAAACAGATAACTCCGGCAACTGCATTCGAAAACGACTGTAATTAACATGCGAAAGCGCGCTCTTGTCAACAATCGAGGACTACCTGAAAACCGTGCTCCATCCCCAACGGAGGGCCATAAAAACGTTCACACGAAACAGACGATGAAGTAAGACCTTGGAAGCCGGCCGACAGCTATATGGTCTCTTGAAAATCAGGTGCTGCCGCTAGTTCGCCACACTTGCAGTCGCCTGTCTACGTGACGTCCACTGTGTTGGCTCCATAAAGCTAACTTTCATTCAAACATCAGTCGCAGAGTAGACGCAGGGTTGGCAGCGACGGAATAGAAGGACATTAGACCTTAATGATCAAGATAAAGCTCAGGGAGGTCTCAGGCCTGAGTAAATACCTGAGTAGCACCATACACCGTTATCAAAATGAGATGACGTCAGAACAGAAAGCTCAGCAAGCAAGGAAGGAATAACGTTTATTTGAAATGCAGAAGGCGGGTAGAAAAGCCTTAACCCTTGAGCGAACTGAGTCCGGCGCGCATGATTTCGTCGACCAGCAGCAAGTTGGTTGCGATAACAGCCCTAAGAGTAAAGTGAAAAGTGTCATAGGACAAGTGCCTGATTCAAAACATCGGCATGCGTTGTCATGGGGGAGCGGAAGTCTTGCACTAGTTAGAAACATGATGTGAATGACAAAGAGTGGCAATACTACTCACGCGGATCCGATCATTTGCTTTTTCACGTTGTAGTTGTCCAAAATGCCCTGTTGGGCGGGTTGGATCACCTCCCCAGTAGCCAGGTCAAGACCGACCATCTCCTTAGGTGGTCCCTTGCGTGCCTCAACAAGAGCCGCTTCTTCAAGGAGACGAACAATAGTTTCTTGACGGTCGTGGCCAGAATTGTTGGCCAAAACCTTAGGTATGATGAGGAGGGCGTCGGCAAAAGCCCGAACACCTAATCGCGCTCGGCCCTTGACGGTCTCCTCATACTTCTTTAGGGCGCGATGTGCAACGATTTCGAAAGCGCCAGCGCCCGGCACCACACATCCTTTGTGGACGAAAAGAGAACAGCAAAAGTTCATTGCAATCCAAGTGTGGGTGGTTTACTAACGGCAAAAAGAGCATGCAGCCGAATAAATACTGTGCGAATACATATACCGGTGAGAGACTGCGGTTAGAAAGGCTGGCCGTCGGCAATAGACGACCATTGTTACTTTTTTAATGGATAAAAGAGCTAGGCGGTAAACCGGTCCATTCTTTTACGACTTCGATTTTATGTCGAAAAGAACAGTTGCAGCTTCCCATAAAGATGTAGTTCATGGAACCTTCAGCTACGCTAAGGCACTGGCTGGATCATTGAAGAAGCTGAACGCGGTTTCAGCAGTGCTGAATTTACACCAAGACGCCGTCTAACCAACGATATCGAGGTGACAGCGTCAAGCTACGATAGAATGCAACCTAAGGCGAACGACGTCGGTAAATCAGTCGGTTTATTCATTAACACTGCGAAAGTCAAGGTATTTCGGCGCTGCATCCCCGATCTGAAGGCATACCCCGCGATTAACGGCTATGAGCGTGAAGTGGGCGACATGGCTGCCAAACAGATAGTAATAATGACATGACTAGCCAAATGATCGGGCACTTTTCCTTCCAGTTCTTCTGCACGACCATGAATGTCCAGCCGTGATGGAAGACGGGCAGAAATCGCAGACTTAGCCACTACTACTTGAGAACAAATAGGCAAGCTGTAGTCTCACAAGCCTCCGAGAATACCCGGCCTATTCAAGGAAGAAGTTTAGGGCGGTTTATGTGTTCCCTTGCCTGTCACACAATCCAGTGCTGTTGTCCTAAGCCCAACTTCGCAGATGGTCGATGACCCCGTGGCCAACAGCCACTACTGTAATGCCCGGTGTCTTTGTTCAACGTCACGTCCCCTGTGAGCGGTTCCAGGCGCACTGACCTTAGTCTTGCCGACCACAACATGCGCACTTAGACAATTTGTCGCCCGTGCCTCAATTAAACACGCCACCCCTCGGGTTATGCGATACACCACCTCAACATGCTTGAGATTGCAGCTCACTCGGGCACGCGCCCTGTCGTGTGCATGTACACAACCCCCCCCCCCCCCTTCTGCTACTACTCGGGACTTGGCTTAGTGGTCGTGATGCTATGAGTACAGTCACTATGGTTCGCAGAGAAATGTATTCTGGACTTCTGGTATTCGGCCTTCACCAGTTGAGGATAGATTAGATCAAAATCACCAGATCGGCGACCACAGAAGCTCGAGAATGTTAACAGGTCAGACAAGAAAGTCGTAGGAATAAATGCAGTGTGCAAGTGCAAAAAAGGTGGCAGAATGCTCCTTGAACTCGCAGTTTAATGCATACCAGGCTGGAATATCCGGAATACACTCCAAAACCAGGCTGGTCTGATAAGTAGTGGAAGGTATCTGGAAACAAATATGTACGGGAATATTGCCCCGACCGAAATGTGTGAGATAACGGCCACCATTTTTTGACAAACGACCGCCAAAAGCACTAGGACTGAGTAGTCCAGCGTGCTGCTTATGCTTAGATCCATATTATACTGTCCATTAACCTGGCGTCATTTATCACAGTTGACAAAAGACCACGGGCATTATGCACTACGAGCTGATTAGTCATTGTATTCCACATGGCAATTTGTGTTTACTCTATTCTACGTCTAATCACGTCTATGTTGCATCGATTCCGGTGGGTCTCTTCTCGCGGAGGCCGGTGTTGCCCTAAGAACGGGCAAACACCAAATAAAACTAACGAAAATATAGGCCCCTGCAAACCACTTTCAGTCGTCCCGCCTATCTTTTTAGGAGCTGAAGTACCATGTCACACTAACCGGTGACAAAAATATGACCCTTCGCGCTCAATACTCTGTCAAAGTATGACTCACCGTCTTCAAGAGTGTTTTTAATAGCACGCAGGCCGTCCTTAAGAGCATCCTTGATTTGAGTGATAGTGTGCTTGTTCGGGCCCTTAATCAGGAGAGTGACCGACTGGGCATCCTTGCAATCTTCAACGAAAGTGAACTTTTCTTCGCCCTAAATGCTAAGTAGATTTAGGAATGAAGACTTACGAGGATGTATTCGGACACCAGACCGGCGTATCCAAGACAGTCGGGAGTGAGATCGTTGACCGAATTCACAGCGTATCCACCACAGGCTAGGGCGAGTCGCTCCATGTTTCGACGCTTGGCACGGCGGAGACCGAGGATTCCTTCGCGGGCAAGAGCGTCGAGAGAGATGGGGTCTATGCCCTTCTGATTTATTAACACAAATCCAGGTTTGGTGTCACCCTGGCCAACAGCCTCGTCACAGACTTTCCTCTTCAAATCTATGATGCACTGGACCCTTTTGTCGATAAACTCGCGTTCTGACTTGACAAGATTTTGTCGTTCCTCGGCAGTCTTGTAGAAAAAGCCTGAATTGATCTCACTAATACGCTCAGAGAAGGGTTAGGGAACTTACGTCTTTTCGTATTCCAGGGAAACGTTGCAGATCAAGATGTATGCATTAGTGACACGTTTGGGCATGTCCGGATGCCTGCCACCGTGGTCCAAGACTAGACCTCTAACCAGGGTTGTGTCCATATCGGTCTTGTGTTGCATTTCCATTATCTCAATACGGTGCAGGTCCAGCGGCTCATTTGGCTGCCTAATGGCCAACACTGCATCCACAGTACTTTCAGTCAAAAGTGCAGCCAGGTCTGGATGAACTTTGGTGCGAAGTGAGGTACCGGCGACGGCTAGAAGAGTATCTTTCTCGGGCATTTCCGGCGAAACATAGACCTTGCACTGCTCCAAGATTTCGATGCACTTCTCCCTAGCCAAATCAAAACCCTCGGTTACAAGTCGGGGGTGGAGACCCTCTGTTATTAAAAGCTCCGCCTGTCTCAGCAACTCGGAGATAATTACGACGACTGATGTCGTTCCGTCACCGGTAATATCATCTTGGGCGGTTGCTACACGTGCAATCAGGCTGGCCGTAGGATGTTGAATTTGCTGAAAAAGGAGTGAGAACATGGCCACAAGCAAACCATTTCGTGAAGAAGGACATTCCCATCCTTGGTTATCTTGATGTCACCCGCGCCTGAGACCAGCCTAGAAATTTAGACAAACCATACGGAAACATTACATTTTCATTGTGCCCTTGGGGCCCAAATTCGTTTTCAAAACTTCAAACAATCCCCTGGCGGCTGTAGCGTTGATCCGGAAGGCATTTTGGGCTTTCGCGAACTCAGCCTTTGGATTGAGCAAGGAAATAGAGGCCATGATCGACACAGCACGACGCGACGACAAGCGTAAAACACACCCAAGTGACCTTGATCCAAACCAGTGAACTGCCAGCAGCCTCTTATCCTATTGGTTAAGTCTGCCGGAGCGCAGAGGTAATTGGATGGCGTGTATTGCCCGCCTCTTTTGGACGAAGACCTTAGCAATGCAGTACACGAAATTGGCGCTAAGAGGAAAAACGCTTGGGTGCCAAGTGTGAAGTGCAACATATGCAGAATGCATGTTTGTCTAAACACCACTCCTTCGTGTTGGTATGGTTGGGGCAAGCACATTGGTTCCTGAACTTCCGGCTGAGTGTTATAAGGTTTGGAAATGTTTGTTTGTTCTCAGGTTTATGAGGATGTGGGATATGACTGCGACTATTTGACCATCCAAACAGTATTGAACTGTCCCGGCGTATGAAATTGTCTGAATAGACGGACGCCAACTTTGCAAAAGGATTGCAAACTTTGGGCCAGTTATTTTTTTATAAGGGCTCATGGTAGGGGTTAGCGGTAATAGGGAGCGTAAACACAAACTTTAACAAGTATCGCCTGGGAACTGCATAACTGATCATAATGTTTTTATTGTCGGAAGTTCGAAGACATTATAAATACAAAAATGACAGTAATTTAAACGACAAACATGAACAATAGAAGTGGTAGAGGGGTGCTCGCATGTCGCGTTGCGGAACACCCGTCCCATTCTGCCTTGGGACTCAATCTTTAGCCCCTCCGGCAGCCGCACAACGACTAGTTGTATAGGCAGAGTGGCATTGCCGACAAAGACAAGAAATATTAGAGTGGCCAGTTTCGAGTTATTAGCCGTCGTCAGCCAGCCGTACTCAAACTCAGGTCCTTGCAGTCTCTGGGCTCGAGGCCACGACATGCTGGCCAGATAACTAACGTCCTAATTATTGATCTGTGGGCTCATTGTCAGGAGTTGCAGAAACCTGGGGTTGGGTATGACTGGCTAATTACAGCTAATTCCAGTTTCCCGCGTGTTTGTCGACAATGTTATTGGGTTAAAACAATGGTATATATTTTGATTTTCGTGTGGTCAACCAACTCCAGAACAGAATTCGGAAAAGACACTGCGGACTAAAGAACAGTTTCAACATCTGCCGGCCATCTGTCTTTTCGCATACTGTACTTATGGTTCTAATATGAACGAATACCAAATCAATGGATTTTAAAGACAAGAAGGAGAAGCAGTGAAAAAGTACAATTGCAAGCGCGGGGATAGTTCAAGGAACCCGGGCTTTTATGTGAGATGTTTAAGAGAGGAAAACTGCTTTGCAAATGGATATTGAGAAACGGTGTATGTTTGTCCTGAGGGCAGAATGCATCTATAATAGCAGAAGAGCAACGAGCGCGAAGTTCATTAACATGTTGGTCTGCAGCAGACCTGGGTTTGGACCAACAAGAGGACTGAGGCATGTCATTCATGCGAGCAGAACATAAACCTGATGAAGGAGGGGGCGATCGAAATCCAGGCGGCATAGTACGTGCGCGTCGCGGGATCCGACTATTTGTCAGGGAGTTAATTGGTAGATACGCCGACATCCATGACGGTCCCGACTGAGAAAACACGGTTTCTGATGAACGGCTGAGACGGACATAACCATACACAGGGAGAAAAATGCGAACGTTTACCATAAGTTGGAAGCGGTCTTTTCAATTCGCAACTGTTATTTCTCGAATTTATGGGCCAAGCCGCTCACAAAGAATAAGAAAATAAACATTTTGTCCGGTCATTGTTAAGATAACGCGCAGTCTCCTCTTAAGTTGCACTAACTGTTTGGTAAGATTACATCTACTAGCAAGTTATTCCAGTGAAAAGTACACTTAGACGCAAAGAAGAGTGAGTGTTTTGAGGTGAAAGAAATGGAAAGAGTAATCATTGGGGAAAAGTTGCGCATGTTGTGTTGGCGACTAAGGGCTGAAATCCGATGAATTTCTAGACTATCGAACGAAAATGCATCGGACTCCATAATGAAGGTGGAAATAAAGATCACTTAAATGTACTTACTACACGAGCGGGATGACGTTTGGCACCTATCTACTCCATCATTATTTCCGCCCCTCGCTTCCTACCAATTCGCCGTTGCTGCAGCCCCCTATTTGATGTTAGTGTGGAGAGAATTGGAGGCCGATCGATTCTGGGCTTTTGCTGACTGGCTGCAATCTGATAAATCCCAGGAATACGCACCGGGTCAAACAACCTCAACGGTACTCACTTGACCAGTGGGAACGTCAACCGAAACTGGTTACTGAGCTGCCTATAGGCTCCTCCGCCCCAGTAGGGCTTGCACATCCAAATGTCTTTCTCGTCTTGAGATTTGCGAACCTTGAGGTATCGACCATCGCATCCCCACAACCGCTCTAGCCAACCAATACAGATAACATTTGGCAGTTTGTAGGACGAACACGCTAAAGCCCCGTATCCATTGTTATAAGTCAATCAAAGTTACAAGGTTAATGCTGGAGGCGATTGAGAGTGCTTCTTCTAGTTTTGATGTGTGCTACTTTGTCGGAGTTGTGAGGGCACAAATGGAAAATTCGACCTGGGAGTGGAGATCCAATTTGCATCAAGATAGCTACCTACTCGCATACTTGTGGAGCGTGTCACTAAATCATTTAGAGTGTAAACAGCATTGTCACGCGTAAGTCAAAGATATAGCTCAATTCCACAAAAACTTTCGGGCCTTATATGGGCTGGTCTGCATCCTTTTTTCTGGCGGCATCCTTAAACTCGATGCTGTAACAAATATTCGGTATAATTTCAAATTGCACGTATCTCAAGGCAGATTGTATAGGAGATAGCACTTTTCCGGAAAGGCATTATGAAATCGTGGAAAGCTTTTCTGTGATCAATTAATCTGTGGAAACCTTCAAAAATAACCGCAGTAGGAAGACGCCTTGGTATAATTCGGCATATATGAAGGATGGGCATATTCTTGAAGAACGCTACTGACTGCTATATGAATGAAAATCAGTCTTAGATTGGCACAGCATTTGTGACACATAGTGCCAGTGATCGATATCAAATAAAGATCTGGTCATCAACGTTTTCCGCCAAGCCAATTGAGTTAAGCAGTTTGCTCCATTCTTCAACAAACAGAGGGGGTTGAAACTAGCTGCCGGTTCAGGTTTTGCAAAGTCTGCCTTCCGTTTCCACTGGTGACTTTAAATATTCTTCCTGCATGTCAGTCCCAGAAAAACTTCAAACTAAAAGCCCAATCTACTGCCTTGGTCATTTTAAAGCCCATGATCACAACTCGCCTATATTGCGCTTGAAAGAGAGAAATAATCTAAGCTTTTTTATCCGTCTCTGATAGGGTTGACGTTCTAGTTCACTAACGACTTTGATCGTTCTACTTTGTATATTCTCCCAAATGAGCATAATTATTTTCGTTCAGAGGTGCCAGCCCTGCACACTATGTTCTTAAAGTGGTCTGACAGATGTCTTAATGATGTGTCCAAAAAGCTGTTCGTCAAAACCGAGGAGCTCTCTACCGATCAGTCATGTGATGGTCATTGCCTTCTTTAGTATCATAGCAGAGTGGGGCAATGGCTTGTTAGTGGACTTTAGCAACATTCTGCAATCTCTACGTTCATTAACTGAGTTGACAAACTCCGATGGAGCAATGAGATTCGAATATCATTGTTCTCCTATTGTTGGATTATACTCTAATAGTTTGACAAACTGGGCTAAGCCTGAAGTGTTGGTTGGTTCCTCTTATCATCGGCGGTTGAAGTGCTGAACAAATTGACGAATTATGTTATCTTAGTCAACCGTGTCTCACCTCTGTTGGGGCAGCAAAAGCCATAGACAGACCCCAGCCACCATGGCCTTCAGAGTCGGTCCCGAATACGGACAATAGAAGTCGGATGTCATTTAAGAGGGTATTGCATTCTGTACAGAAAGACTGGAGAACAATTTGAGAAAAGCTGGTACCTGGACCAGGAACACTCCGACGCCACGAGGTCAGCGTTTCGAGTGACAGTGAGTCGGTTTTCAAGGCGCTTTGAGTGAGAGTACGTCTGAGTTGGTCTCGAAATGGATTGGCAGACAACCGGAACTGCCACTGGTAAGTGCGCGAGGTGAAGCGTTGCAACAGGCGCCTGGGGTAGATTTACTACACCTGCAACTTTTCGTGCAAATGACGAATGTTCTCGTGTACCGAAGAGGGAAATTACTCGGTTACTCGATCTACCGTTTCCATAAAGTTTTCTCAGTCACCCTGGGTGCCCAGTGGACATTTACTACATTATGAAGCGAGTGGCTCATGGGAAGGGGATCGGTAAATAATGCAACACGTTTTTGAAGCTTTTATATAATCGTTCCTTTAGCCTTCTCATTATTTTAAGACACCTTGTCCACCCCCGACGTGACAGTCGCTGTGAGGTCTTTTCATTTCTTCCCCTGGCACGTACTGTTAAATATCGCCAGTTCTTTTCTGTGAACATAATTGTTATTTGGAATAAATTACCCAGGAATCTGAAAATTATGCAAAATTATTCTTAGTTTAAGACAGCCATTACCCGTTTTTTTGCATTCAGAAAACTACCAAACTTTTAAATGATGAATTCACCAATCGAATATACCGCAGTGATGGCGTTTGTGGTCTCTGATTGCCATGGTCGGTCTCACCAGAGACAATTTCTTCAGCCAACAGCAACAACTGTTCTTTAGCGCTTCTGTATGGTCCAGTCCCAATTTCATGAAAAGAAATGGCGACTGAAAATATGCGATGCAGTGCTACCCATTCCTTTCCCCACTGTCGCCATTCCATGGGCAATACTTTTTCTCCTGAACCCCCCAAACGATACAAAACCATCACCGTCATAATTTAGTTATCAGGACTTTTTTCCCTGCTGGTCGGACATGAGCTTAATCATTCCCTGACCAGGCCCGTAAACGGGCATTAAATACAATTATTAGTATTATTATTATTACCAATATCAACACTGGTATATCCCTTGGGACAATTCGTC